ATAAACAAAGATTTGTGCAACGACTGCAGACTGAACATTGTAAACACAAGTAAAAGTAAGTAAGTAAGTTTTTATTTATATAGTACTTTTCACAGACATATGTCATAAAGACACTTTACAGAGCTTTATTCACTCACTCCAAACCCGGTGTTGGTGAACTACTATTGCAGCCACAGCTGCCCTGTGTCAGATTGACTGAAGCGCAGATCTGCGCCATTGGCCCCTCAAACCATCATCATCATCACTCACACACACACACACACACCACTTTCATACTAGGCAATGTGGGTGAAGTGTCTTGCCTAAGGACACAACAACAGTTTTGGCTCCTGATTTTCCCAGTGTCTCCATCCAAGTCCAGACCAGACCAGACCTCTGAGCTTCTGAGATCTGCCAGAATCAGGCTTTGACAAACTGGAACGACCACCATGTACTTAAAAACAAACACTTGCACACTACAGTTTATCAAAGAATTTGACAGTGAAAATGTCTTAGGAAAGACTGTATCTGCTGGAATCCACAGAGAGAGAAAGAGATTTCAGTGGATTCTGTTCGTGCTCTGGCTTCTCATCTTTCTCCGCTCACTTTGGACGGAAAGTTTTGCGAAGAATCACGAGCCTGAAGCGTAACGTGTGTGTAGTAATTGTATTTTACTCAAGTACACTGTTACTTTAAACAAAACATTACTCCAGTACAAGTCAAAATACGGTGTAAAAACTACTCGTAAAAGTAGAGTTCCTTGAGTGACACAGCAGCACCTGGAGTAGTTCTTCACAGACTGTATGAGCCCGGCCCGTGTGGAGAAATGAGTCTTATTTAAGTGTGATTTGGGCGCAGAGTCCGGCTCGTGCTTCATCTCCTCCTCTCCCTCTGTCTCTGTGTCTCTCTCGGTCTCTGTGTCTCTCTCAGTCTCTGTGTCTCTCTCTCTGGTCTCTGTGTCTCTCTCGGTCTCTGTGTCTCTCTCGGTCTCTGTGTCTCTCTCTCTCTGTCTCTCTCTCTCTCTCTCTCTCTCTCGGTCTCTGTGTCTCTCTCGGTCTCTCTCTCTCTGTCTCTGTGTCTCTCTCGGTCTCTCTCTCGTGTCTCTCTCGGTCTCTGTGTCTCTCTCGGTCTCTGTGTCTCTCTCGGTCTCTGTCTCTCTCTGTCTCTCTCTCTGTGTCGTCTCTCTCTGGTCTCTGTGTCTCTCTCGGTCTCTCTCTCTCGGTCTCTCTCGTGTCTCTCTCGGTCTCTGGTCTCTCTCTCTGGTCTCTGTCGTCTCTCTCGGTCTCTGTGTCTCTCTCGGTCTCTCTCGGTCTCTCTCGGTCTCTGTGTCTCTCTCGGTCTCTGTGTCTCTCTCGGTCTCTGTGTCTCTCTCGGTCTCTCGTCTCTGTCTCTCTCGGTCTCTGTCTCTCTCGGTCTCTCTCGTGTCTCTCTCGGTCTCTGTCTCTCTCGTCTCTCTCGGTCTCTGTGTCTCTCTCGGTCTCTGTCTCTGTGTCTCTCTCTCTCTGTGTCTCTCTCTCTCTCGTGTCTCTCTCGGTCTCTGGTCTCTCTCGGTCTCTGTGTCTCTCTCGGTCTCTGTGTCTCTCTCTCTCTCTCTGTGTCTCTCTCGGTCTCTGTGTCTCTCTCGGTCTCTGTGTCTCTCTCGGTCTCTGTGTCTCTCTCTCTCTGTGTCTCTCTCGGTCTCTGTGTCTCTCTCGGTCTCTCTCTCTGTGTCTCTCTCGGTCTCTGTGTCTCTCTCGGTCTCTCTCTCGGTCTCTGTCTCTCGGTCTCTGTGTCTCTCTCGGTCTCTGTGTCTCTCTCGGTCTCTCTCGGTCTCTGGTCTCTCTCTCGGTCTCTCTCGGTCTCTGTGTCTCTCTCGGTCTCTGTGTCTCTCTCGGTCTCTGTGTCTCTCTTCTGAGTCTCTGATCTGTGTCTCTCTCGGTCGAGTCTGTGTATGAAGGCAAATGGCAGAGTAATAAAACACACTTAATGGAGTTAACTAGACGAGCGGGGCGGACTTTGGTTCAGTCCACGCTGCTCGTGTCGACTTTTAGAACGGCCCTGGTGTTTCAGAGCTGGTTTAGTCCTGATTTAGTCCTGGTTTAGTCCAGGTTTAGTCCTGTTTTAGTCCTGGTTCAGTCCAGGTTTAGTCCTGTTTTAGACCTGGTTTAGTCTTGTTTTAGTCCTGGTTTAGTCTTGTTTTATTCCTGGTTTTAGTCCTGGTTTAGTCCAGGTTTAGTCCTGTTTTAGTCCTGGTTCAGTCCTGGTTTAGTCCTTGTTTAGTCCTGGTTCAGTCCTGGCTTTAGTCCTGTTTAAGTCCTGTTTTAGACCTGGTTTAGTCCTGGTTTAGACCAGGTTTAGTTCTGTTTTAGTCCTGGTTCTGTCCCTGTTTTAGTCCAGGTTTAGTTCTGTTTTAGTCCTGGTTCAATCCTGTTTTAGTCCTGTTTTAGTCCTGGTTCAGTCCTTGTTTAGTCCTGGTTCAGTTCTGTTTAAGTCCTGGTTTAGTCCTGTTTTTAGTCCTGGTTCAGTCCTGGTTTTAGTCCTGTTTTAGTCCTGTTTTAAGTCCTGTTTTAGTCCTGTTTAGTCCTAGTCCTGTTTTAGTCCTGTTTAGTCGTCCTGGTTTTAGTCCTGGTTTAGTCCTGGTTTAGTCCTGGTTTAGACCTGGTTTAGACCTGGTTTAGACCTGGTTTAGTCCTGGTTTAGACCTGGTTTAGACCTGGTTTAGACCTGGTTTAGACCTGGTTCAGTCCTGGTTTAGTCCTGGTTTAGACCTGGTTTAGACCTGGTTTAGACCTGGTTTAGACCTGGTTCAGTCCTGGTTTAGTCCTGGTTCTGTTCTGCTTTAAACGGTTCTGGAGTGATTTTCTATCTTTCTTTTTATCTCTCTCAGAGCTGTTTACATCGAGGAAACACTCACCCACACACTTTCAGACACTGATGGGGGCGAACTGGGTGAAGTGTCTTGCTCAAGGACACAGCAACATTTTCATTTTCCTGGTTTAGTCTTGGTTTAGACTAGGGATGTGAATATTTGGCAAAAACACTATTCGAAACTCAATGACAGCTATTCGAATATTATTCAAAAATCGCCCCCCCTTTCCCCGCCTGCACGCACACGCACATATACCACATGACAGATGGGGTATTTAAGCGCAAATGTTTTAATCAACAAAACACCCTTCCAAATCAGAAATGAGCACCCACCTATGAAACAATATGAAATTATATTCAAGGCTATCTCAGTTTTAACCCTCTCCAGGCAGGCGTTGCAGATTTGCAACAGCTAAATTCCAATTACCTACTGACTCCACATCCATATTTTATTAGCTTTTTTCCCATCCATGCTGATAAACGTGGACGATGCAGACTGTGCAAGAATGACAACACACAAACTGCCTGCCAGAAGTGCAAAATACTTTTTTTGTTTACAAAGGATAAAAAAGTCAGGATTGTATATTACTACCCCATATTATAATTTTCCCCAAATATCAGATTTTTCCTGATACTAGAAATTAATTTGAGCCTGAGAGGGTTAAAAACGCATGACCAAGCACATACTGTAGCCCACTGCAGAGACTCGCTCCGATGGCACGGACGTCGCAGACACACCTAAGTAAGCGCTCGCTCACTTTGCCAGTCGGGGGTATTTCTGTTTGCTTCTTTTCCATCATGTTTAGGCGTGTTCTATCAAAAATGACTAGACTCAGTCAATTTAAGTTACAAAAATTTATTCCCCTGACAATTCAATTCTAATACAGAGCTCTGGGTCAGATTGTTGTCCCTAACTGCCTACAAAGTTACATAGGGCTTATACCAGTTGGTTTATCTCTACAGTCCCAGTTCTGCAAAGGAAATTGCTTAGAAGCACATAGGTTACACATTATATAGGAAACACAATGGTACTGTTCAACAAATAAGATCTCGGTGTTTAAGCTTCAACTCAATGTGTAACTTCATTAACCAATAGTCTTCACATGTCATCGGGTCAGTGTGGAGCGGTGGGCATATATCCTGGCAGTACTGAGTTCACTTGCGCATGTTCCCGTGTTTGGGCGTGTTTCGCTCTCAGACGGCTCTGCATGGTAGTGGTTGATCTATGGTTTGCTTCACCTGGCAGATTTTTCATTTAACAAAGTAAATGACGATCATACGGAACTTTTACTTGCTTCTGCATTGCTAATGCGGCGCGATAAGTTTTCTTCTTCTGTTATTCCGGAGCAGCCTCTACACTCGGCCTAGTCTACCGCGCCTACAGGGAGTTTTACAGTCTGTTAGCGCCACCTTCTGGCCGAATGCCGTACATGAAATATTGGTTAGGAAACGTCTTTATTCGAAATTACTATTCAATATTCAAACGTATGACGAATATTCGAAAATCATGTCTCATCCCTAGTTTAGACCTGGTTTAGTCCTGTTTTAGTCCTGTTTTGGTCCTGGTTTAGTCCTGGTTTAATCCTGGTTCAGTCCTGGTTTAATCCTGTTTTAGTCCTGGTTTAGTCCTGGTTTAGTCCTGGTTTAATCCTGGTTCAGTCCTGTTTTAGTCCTGTTTTGGTCCTGGTTTAGTCCTGGTTTAATCCTGGTTTAGTTTTAGTCCTGGTTTAATCCTGTTTAGTCCTGGTTTAGTCCTGGTTTAGACCTGGTTTAATCCTGGTTTAGACCTGGTTTAATCCTGGTTTAGTTTAGTTTAGTTATTTTTTGTGTGCTTTCTTTATGTTATTTATTATTATTATTATTATTATTATTATTATTATTATTATTATTATTATTATTATTATGAATAATAATAATAATAATAATAATAATAATAATATAATAATAATTCAGTTTTTATTATTAATATTTGTTTTCTTTGGATTTGTCTATAATAAATTTAAAAAATTATAAATAAAATATAAAATATAAATACATAACACCAGTGACTATAGAAAACCTGCGACAGTTTGGCATGAATCCACACACAGGGCAGCCACAACCGCGCACTCCTTTAATACTCCTTTAATACTGTGTAATCCTAATCTGACCCTCCCCTCCCCTGCACCCGCCAGCACCCGCCAGCACCCGCCAGCACCCGCCAGCACCCGTCCAGCCCCCGTCAGCCCCCGTCAGCCCCCGTCCCGTCCACATGTCCGCTGTCGTATCGCTCCAATCCTCCGCGGCGCACGGAGGGACAGCTGCAGAGGGAGCGGGAGCTAAGGGCCTCGCCGGTGCTCAGGTTTTATAACGTTATGGAAATGCAGCAGAAATAGGACAGAGAAATAAAACGCTGGAAGAAAAAGACCAAGAGAAGCGAGAGAATAAAACAGAGACGCTGATAGAGTTACGTGTTATGATGCTGATGTTTGTGAGGAAAAATCCCGCGCACCGTTTTACTTGGAAATAGTGAGATTTATTTTTATTTTGTTGAAATAAATGGATGACATGGCGGTATTTTCCTGTTTTCACACTTTGGGCTAAAACCAGGACTAAACCAGGTCTAAACCAGGTCTAAAAACAGGACTAAAGGAGGACTAAACCAGGTCTAACCCAGAAATAAACCAGGTCTAAACCAGGTCTAAAACAGGACTAAAGGAGGACTAAACCAGGTCTAAACCAGGAATAAACCAGGTCTAAAACAGGACTAAAACAGGACTAAACCAGGACTAAACCAGGTCTAAAACAGGACTAAAGCAGGACTAAACCAGGTCTAAAACAGGACTAAAGCAGGACTAAAACAGGACTAAAACAGGACTAAACCAGGTCTAAACCAGGTCTAAAACAGGACTAAAACAGGACTTAAAACAGGTTTAAAGCAGGACTAAAACCAGGACTAAAACAGGAATAAACCAGGTCTAAACCAGGACTAAACTAGGACTAAACCAGGACTAAAGTTGGACTAAAGCAGGACTAAACCATTTCTAAAACCAGGACTCATTGTTCTACACTGCAGTGTTCACGATATAATAAGTTTATCTACTCGTGTTTATTAATATTTTACCGATCAGTAATGTTCAGTTGATGTGGACACGGTGCTTGAGCTTCGTGCTCCTCAAAGTCCTCGTCCGATTCCGGGTCCAACACATGCGGCTGAACGCGCTGTATCTCCATGATGAATAAAGGTTTATTCCTACTAGAGCCCTGCAGTCCCGCGGGCCCCGACGCAAACCACTGCGACGCGGGACACATTTTGAAAGCTCGCTGTGGGCGCGGGCGGGAGTGGGGCTAAACAATGTGGGCGAGGGCGGGAGGGATGATAAACTGCAGTCCCGCAAACTAAATATGAGTATAAAGTAAAATATAAATAAGATGAATGTAAGTATATCATGCATCATTTGTGCTGGAGATTTTATTTGGCATTAATAAAAACATTTTAAGCAGCAGACGTCCCCCGTCCTGTACGCCGCGCGGACAGTCCCCCCGCGTCCCTTATGCCATGCAGACAGTCCTTCCGTCCAAGTATGCCATGTGAACAGTCCCCCGTGTCCCGTACACCACGCTAACAGTCCCTCCTTCCGTACGTCGTGCTGCCTGCGCAACAAAACCAGAACTCAACCAGAACTAAACCAGGTCTAAACCAGGACTAAACCAGGTCTAAAAACAGCTCTAAAACCAGGACTAAAACTGAATTTAGCCAGGACTTAACCATGTCGCCGGATCGCCCACCGCGCCTCCTCTCCGTGTTTGATAGAGTTTAAGAAAGCAAAGGTTCCCATCCTGCGGGACTTGCGGGCGGGCGCGGGACACAGTATTGCAGATGCGGGCGGGAGCGGGATTGAAAATTACAATTCTTTGCGGGAGCGGGACTCAAAATTCTGTCCCGCGCAGACCTCTAATTCCTACCACTATCAGGGTGCACGTCTGTCTCCCCCTCCCTCCCTGAGATGGCGGAGGAAGGGCGGCTCACTAAGAGCCTACGTCACGTTTGGAGGGCGGAGCCTGTGTTTTCTCAGGACGGGCGGGGGGAGGAGCAATAGTCGGACTTTCATAGTTCCTGGTCTGTGACTGATTTCATAACTATTGTGTAATGGATGTTCCAAAACCCAAATTGTGCTTGTTTATGTGCAGAAGATACAATGTGAAAAGAGTTATTTTGCATGAGACGGGATCTTTAAATAAAAAAGTACCTGTTTGAAAATCCACTTAAAGAGTAAAGAGTGTTTTAGGTGTTGAATGTTGAATTATGCAGATTTCATTGTGCAGTAAAAGTACTTTATTTATTTTCAAATGAATTTTCAAGGTCCAATATCACACAAAATAGACTCTTGTGAGCTTTTAGTCGTGTTATAACGATGTGAACTCCTCAAAAACAGACCTGGAGTTGTGTTTTTGTTTCATTCACTCGTGTTTTCTACATCTGCAAATGTCATGAAGCGTCGTTTTCACATTAACAGCTCCTTTTACCTTTTGTTCAGTGGAGATTGGAGAGGGCAGGAATGATCCAAATGATTCTAGTGAAGGTGTGTGGAGTTCTAAAGCACTTCCTGTATCACCACATGACATCACAAGGTGGAACGGAGTGTCTTCTTTCTGTTTGAGAGAAGAACTCCACGTGTGTTTGTGCAGCAAAGACGAGGATCTTAACATAAGTTGTTTTACCTGATAAAAGAGAATAAAAAGACTAGTTTAGTCCTGGTTTAGACCTGGTTTAGACCTGGTTTAGACCTGGTTTAGTCCTGGTTTAGACCTGGTTTAGACCTGTTTTTAGTCCTGCTTTTAGTCCTGGTTTAGACCTGGTTTAGACCTGTTTTTAGTCCTGGTTTAGTCTTGGTTTAGACCTGGTTTAATCCTGGTTTAGTCCTGGTTTAGACCTGGTTTAGACCTGGTTTAGATCTGGTTTAGTCCTGGGTTAGTCCTGGTTTGGACCTGGTTTTAGTCCTAGTTTAGACCTGGTTTAGTCCTGGTTCGGTCCTGGTTTAGTCCTGGTTTTAGTCTTGGTTTAATCCTGGTTTAGTCCTGGTTTAGTCCTGATTTAGTCCTGGTTTAGACCTGGTTTTAGACCTGGTTTAGACCTAGTATAGTCCTGATTTAGTCCTGAGTTAGTCCTGGTTTGGACCTGGTTTTAATCCTAGTTTAGACCTGGTTTAATCCTGGTTTAGACCTGGTTTTAGTCCTAGTTTAGACCTAGTTTAGACCTGGTTTAATCCTGGTTTAGTCCTGGGTTTAGTCCTTGTTTAGACCTGGGTTAGACCTGGTTTAATCCTGGTTTAGACCTGGTTTAGTCCTTGTTTAGACCTAGTTTAGACCTGGTTTAATCCTGGTTTAGACCTGGTTTAGTCCTTGTTTAGACCTGGGTTAGACCTGGTTTAGACCTGGTTTAGTCCTTGTTTAGTTTAGTCCTGGTTTAGTCCTTGTTTAGTCCTGGTTTAGTCCTGATTTAGACCTGGTTTAATCCTGGTTTAGTCCTGGTTTTAGTCCTTGTTTAGACCTGGGTTAGACCTGGTTTAGACCTGGTTTAGTCCTTGTTTAGTCCTGGTTTAGTCCTGATTTAGACCTCTTAAACGAGACTAAAAACAGTCGTAGATTTTGAACTGGGTTAAACTTAAACTTAATTTGTATAAATAACTTCGAAAACAATTCTGGCTGTGGGAAAATCCCAAACAGGCGGCGTTAATATCACACGTAAGAATCCCATGTTCTGTTGTGTTTTTTTAAGTTTCAGATGTTGAGCAGCGGCCTACATAAATCTGCCGAGGTTTAGTACTTTTATAAATATTTGTAAAGACCAAAAAACTTGCTTTCTGACAACTTTGCGACCGAATTATGCCACCGCTTTTTGTAGCATTTTAAAAACATTCATACAGAGAAAACCTTGAATTTTGTGCCAGTTTTTGTTTCACGTGGAAAAGGACAATAATGACAGAGATTTTAAAAACCTTGTGTACAGAGAAAGAGTCAGAACCTCACAAGAACCGAATCTTTAAAAAAAAAGAAGAACTGATGAAAAAAAGTTACTGTATTTCCTGTAAAACCAGGACTAAACCAGGACTAAACCAGGACTAAACCAGGTCTAAACCAGGACTAAACCAGGTCTAAACCAGGACTAAGTCAGGACTAAAACAGGATTTAACCAAGACTAAAACCAGGACTAAACTACAGTAGGACTAAACCAGGACTAAACCAGGACTAAACCAAGACTAAACCAGGTCTAAACCATGTCTAAAACCAGGACTAAAACAGGATTAAACCAAGACTAAAACCAGGACTAAACTACAGTAGGACTAAACTAGGATTAAAACCAGGGCTAAACCAGGTCTAAAACCAGTACTAAACCAGTACTAAACTAGGACTAAAACTAGGACTAAAACCAGGACTAAAAGCAGGACAAACCAGGACAAAACCAGGACTAAGCCAGGACTAAACCAGGTTTAAACCAGGACTAAACCAGGATTAAACCAGGTCTAAACCAGGACTAAACTAGGACTAAAACCAGGACTAAACCAGGACTAAACCAGGTCTAAAACCAGGACTAAACCAGGACTAAACTAGGACTAAAACCAGGACTAAACCAGGTCTAAACCAGGACTAAACCAGCACTAAACCAGGACTAAACCAGGACTAAACTTGGACTAAAACCAGGTCTAAACCAGGACTAAACCAGGATTAAACCAAGACTAAACCAGGACTAAACCAGGACTAAACCAGGTCTAAACCAGGTCTAAACCAGGTCAAAACCAGGACTAAAACCAAAACTAAACCAGGTCTAAACCAGGTCTAAACCAGGACTAAACCAGGACTAAACCAGGACTAAACCAGGTCTAAACCAGGACTAAACTAAGACTAAACCAGGTCTAAACCAGGTCTAAACCAGGACTAAACTAGGACTAAACTAGGACTAAACCAGGACTAAACCAGGTCTAAACCAGGACTAAACCAGGACTAAAACCAGGTCTAAACCAAACAGGACTAAAACCAGGTCTAAACCAGGAAACCAGGACTAAACCAGGTCTAAACCAGGTAAACCAGGACTAAACCAGGACTAAACCAGGTAAACCAGGACTAAACCAGTCTAAACCAGGACTAAACCAGGAAAACCAGTCTAAACCAGGACTAAACCAGGACTAAACCAGGTCTAACCAGGTCTAAACCAGGAAACCAGGACTAAACCAGGTCTAAACCAGGACTAAAACCAGGACTAAACCAGGTAAACCAGGTCTAAACCAGGACTAAACCAGGTCTAAACCAGGTCTAAACCAGGACTAAACCAGGTCTAAACCAGGGCTAAACCAGGACTAAACCAGGACTAAACCAGGTCTAAACCAGGGCTAAACCA